TATCTTAAATTTCGAAGTTTTTCATAATTACCCATGGTGGAAAAATTCAGTTGAGATAACTTTTTCATGGGGTGATCAATTGCTATGATTGTAAGAATAAGTAACTAAAAAACTACCACTGAAAAATAATATGCCGACGCCTATGTCGGCATATTATTTTTTGCTGTTCCAATTGGTATTGGAAATACATGTATTGTTTGCTGAATCTATGTTCGAATTTCTTTCGACTTGTTTCATGCCTTTTAGGTCTTTGAAACCAATAAAGGTTATTATTATTATATGCGGTCACAAGCGATCCCCTTGGGGAACTGGACGAAACCTCATTGTAATCAGCCTTCCTCTGGTAATGCGGGGCTCTGCCATAGTGAGCAACTCTTCCCTTGCTACTCGTGGGAACACACATGAATGAAACAACAGAAACAACAAAAACCAATCCTGAGGCTGGACAGAAGTGCTCACCTCAATCTAAGGCGGTGGCTGGGGATGAACAGAAATGTCCATCCCAATCTACCGCTTGGAATGAGGCTGGTCATAGCAGATCATCTCCAACAGCAAAGGCACTTCCTGCGGCGGGCGCCAAGAGCTCCGCCTTGAATAAAGGCAAGGAACCGGCTGCTTCTGCAGGAAAGCTCCCTCATTTGTGCACCTCCACGGAGGGAACCCCAAGAAGGTTGAAGAAGCCGTGCAACGACAGTAATATAGCTGCACCTTCCAAAACCTTCGCGGAGGCCACCGTGAGACACCTCAAGGTTGTCAAACTCCCAAAAATATAACCCCTTCAATTTAAACCGTCAAATTTACGAATCGTTTTGTTCTTGAGGAATATTTTTATTTCGAGTCGAAAACCATGACACTTAGTGGCCTGAAACCACCGTTGACAAAAAAGGAATGAAAGAAATCATACACATTGCTACAAATATTCATTTAAAAAATCTGGATTCATATAATACTAATCATACAAAATATAACAAATTTGGAGGCTGAATCATAGAAAGAACAACCAAACCAGAATTAGAGAATGAGTGCTGTCTGGGTTCAGAATCCTCCACTCCTCCGACCCTCTTCAGTAAGCTTTGATGAAGCTTGAGGATTCCTATCACTTGCTTTAAGTTTGGTACCGCCTCCGCTTCTCCGGGATTTTGACCCCATAAAATCCTGTCGAATTTTTCGTCTTCTCTCTACGTTTCTTTTTTGGATGCCAATTTGCTCAAGCACGCTCTCCGCGTAAAAAGTGTACAGCTGCCTGGCCACCAAAATGTGAAATCGATATTGAATGTATCAGCAACGACCTATCAAAAGGATTGAAAGAACTAACCGATTTGGTTCACGAAAAGAATACTACTGATTCGAATTTTAAAATGTTCGAAAGGGTCTAGGCTCTCGTTCACGAATATAAATAAATAATTAATATCATTGTTGAACTTCCTTGTCCCACTCATGAGAATATTACACCTAATTCGGCAGCTAAATGTCGGTGCTTGATACGGAGCGAT